AAATCATTTTGATGAATTTCGAGAAAATAAAGTCATTTTCATTACTTACTTGTAATTACCTTTCTATGGTAAAAGTTTGAGGGAAAGCTATTTTCTGACCCGAAAAGCAGTGGGCCGCTTTTACAGAGACTGCCTCTCAAGTTGTGCCTGTGGTCACGCGCTTTGCAAAGAGTGTCTCACACGGGAATTTTCTAACTCGTTATTTGTGAATCGAAATTCTTTACTTAAGACGGTAAAAATCAATTATTTTCCTCACAGTTGCTTTAATTTTAAAGTTTTTTATGTTCACAGATATTTCTAGATCCGAATGGACATATTCTTAAAGTTTAACGAGCTAGAAGTTGAATGACTTAAGGTCAAGAAGATAGGCGAAATATATTCGTTTGTTTAAATCATTCTTATTACTTCATATTAAACAAAATATTAAAAGGCCGAATAAACTTCTCTGTACTTTAAGTTTATTCATAGTAGCCTTTGGAGCCAAAACATTTCATATAACTTGAAAATCAGCTTGAGGAATCTGCAAAAATAGTAMGAAGTAGAATGAAATACGCTCGGTTTGTTTAGATCAAGAAGGCATAATTCTTTATCCTTGGCTTGTTTTTGAAGCGCTGTTTTCCTTCCTTAGCACTGATCTTCGGTTACAGAGAATACTGCTTTCAGTAGTTGAACCAAAGAATGTGTAGTTCGTAAAAATAAGCTACGGGCCATTATATTAATATTTCTTGGAAATCCTTGTACCTTTTCTATTTTACAAAGACATTAGAATTTCTAATCCACCTCAGTCTTAAATAACAGCAGTCAGCAAAATAGAGCATGCGTAGACTTTAATTGTGTCACGTGATAATCTAGCTCCGCCCCCTCCTAATCACTTCGCAATATTGACATTGATTAACAGCAAGGCAGATGCTATTTAGTCAGCACATAGACGGTAAACCCATAGCAGAAACCCGCAAAGTTCTTTTGGGTAATATTGTACGTCATTTAAATCCAAGTATGGGTACTATTGCGCAACTTTGCCATTTTGTCGCGGAGAAAAAAAAAAATACAAAAAAAATACGAAAAACAAAGGCATTTTATAGCTGGTATACCACAGGTATCCCAGCAAAAACTGTTGGTAAATCGTCTAACTGAAATCGCTTAAAGCAGCGTTTACACTGGCGATTTTTGCGGCAATTTTCGGAAATGTGAAATCTTTTGTCTCATCCCTCAAAAGAGACATTCGTCTAGGAAAATCTTGGTATCCTGAAAAAAACTTTACAAGTAAATTCTTTACCATTATTTATTATGGASAAAATCGCAAAAAAATCGCAGCAAAAATCGCCACAAAATTCTTACAGAATTCTAGTTAATCTCTTTACATTGGATAACGTATAGAATTAAGAATTCAAGTTTATAATTTGAAATCTGGTTAAGAAATAATACATTGAAGAAAGCTTATTTAAAAAACTGAAACAGAAAGACCAGCAAAGCACAGCCTAAGACGTTTGGGACTTTGTCTTTGTCAACCAAAAAAAAAAAAAAAAAAAGCAAATATACCTTTTTACAATTCCCTGCGCCATCTTGAAAAGTATCCGTGCCTTTGCATCGAAGCGAGACGAACGGTGAGCTTGCAATGATAGAGACTTTTTTTAACACCTTGGACAATTATTCACGTTTCTATCATTGCAAGCTCACCGTTCGTCTTGCTTCGATGCAAAGACACGGCTACCTTTCAAGATGGCGCTGGGAATAGTCCCTTTGCAGCTAAACGGTCAAGTGTATGTACCGGAGGGCAAAATTCATGTTTTCATATTAAATTGGTGATTCTTTTTAGCTACTTTCAAAGAAATGAATGAAACGATGTGTAACCAGTGTGTTACGAAATGCAGTTTTATTACGATCTCTCGAAACAGGTTGTAGAAAGTTTGTTTGCTCACCAGTATATTTCACCCATGGGAATCAAGATGTTCATTCATTTGCTCTCAGTGAATGTAAAAGCACGTGATTACTGAGCTGCAAAGGGCCTATTGTGAAGGGGACTATTTGGTTAACAGAATGTACCTTATCCACCTTATCAACATTATCTCGGATTCGAGGTTGACATGAAAACACAAAAGAAATGCTACAGTTTTTAGCGAGAAAAAGTGTGATTTCTTTTGTATTTTCCTGTTAGCATCGCCATCCAAGGTTCATACTGAGGAGGGGTGGATGCATGAGGAATTTGTTAGGGGAGGGGTGGTGTGGGGTGTCCCAAATGAAGAAATGTATATAGAGGATATTATATACACGGTGGCGCGAAGATATGAAGTTTATCTTCGAAATATTTTTCAACACGAGAAGACAAACTTCATATCTTCAAGCCAGCGTGTAATGTCCTTTTTATCATATAGACAAATCCACAAAGCAAAACTAAGCAAGTTAATCAAACAGGTCCCGGAGAACATCGCAAGTGACGTCATCGATATCCTCACTAGTGAAGGTATGGAAAATATGTTATTCAGGTCCTGGATGTAGTTTGTACAAAAAATACGAGTGGCGTATTTCCCAGTAAAACACTCATGTCTATATAATAAATAGAGATGTCATGCATCGTGAATGTTTCTTTTGCTTCAAAAAAGCTAAGAGTAATCACATTAGAGGGGGTGCCCGGTACACCACAGGACAGCCCCTGCATTTGCTCCCGTTAAGGGAGTTCCGTAGTTGGAATTATTAGGTATTATTCAAAAAGTAAATGTATTGAAATGATAAAAGAATCAATTTAAAATTAGAGTTGTGCGATCAGTTGCGATTCCACTCGGTTATCCAACATGGCTGCTTCTGTTAGTACGTGGTAACATTCCATTTGTTAAGAACGCGAGCTTTTCTAATAGTTCCTTTAAAACATCGTTCATCTTCTTGGCCATTGTTGCTTCTTTTGTATTTCCCTGAAAAAGCAAAACAAAAATTGTCCGTTTACAGTCAACTCTCGCCTTGTGGACACGCCGATATTACGCACACCTTGTTATTGCGGACAGGAGAAAAATCCCCGACAAAAATACTGACAAAGAAATGACCGCAATTAATTCCCGCTATCGCGGATGCTCACTATTACGGACACGAAGTGACGGTCCCGAGGGTGTCCGCTGTAGCGAGAATTGACTGTATTTCGAAATTTCGAAGCTCGACTTACAGTTATTTCAAAAAAGGTTTTGTTGAATGCTGCATGTGGCATGCTGGATGTTGCATGTTGCATGCTGGATGTTGCATGTTGCATGTTGCATGTGGCATGCTGGATGTTGCATGTTGCATGTGGCATGCTGGATGTTGCATGTGGCATGCTGTATGTTGCATGTTGTTCATCAAAAGCAATAAATACACTGCAGAGAAGCATACAGTATCACCTGTTTTTAGAATACGTCATGCTTCGTTGTCCTGCTTTCATGTGGACTTTAGACCGAGGGCCATTCACCTTCTGGGTAAAAAATAAATAAAAACGCGGTCGTCAACACGGTCATAGTTGCTTTCCAAGGTCCACATTAAACGACCCAATATTCAGCCAACATTTGCTGGGCCATGTGTAAGGACCGTTTGCCATGGTCTGTCAACAATGTTGGGATGTGATTTTTAATGTTTTTTCACGACAGAACGTGTCAGTATCCTGTCAATCAATGTTGAAAAAATGTTGAGTCACATGTTGGGCCATTTGTCAGGGCCCTAACTGAGCCTTAATACGGGCGACCAACATGGTGGCCATGTCGTTTGTCCTTTTGTGACGTCATAGCCGCCATGTCGGACGACTTGAACAAAAGATTTGGTCTTAGTTTCTTTTATGTCAACCAACATGGTGGCCATGTCTTTTGTCCTTGTGCATGTGACGTCATAGCAGCCATGTTGGATGACTTGAACAAAAGATTTGGTCTTGGTATCTTTTTCGTTCCAGTTTGATCATTTTAGTCGTAAAATAAGGAATACCTTCTGTCTCTTTGACTGGTCGTAAGGGTTGAAGACGTCTTCCTTCGATTGCTCTTGGTTACCTGCAAAGATTATATAAAATGTTTTAACTTATCATCCAGCGTAACCTCCTCCGCAGGAATTTCTTAACTCCGTTCCTAGCGCGCATACTCTCTAGATATATAGATAGATTGACACCTTTATTTCAACTTAAATAAAATAACAACAGGGTAGTCCAGTCAGTGGCAAAATGCCTCTGCTATCTGCTACTCCGCTCCTATGGAACCCTCTACCTTCTTCAATTAGAGATATTTCCAGTTTATCTTTATTTAAATCTAAACTCAAGACTCATTTATTTAAGTTAGCTTTTTCTTTATRATCATATTATYKATCTTATTTATTTATTCCTTTAACGTTATGTTACTAAGCGCTTAGAACAGACTTGTGTAAGCGCTATATAAGCCATATATTATTATTATTATTATGATTAAAGGAGCCCTGTTAAACATATACACAATACACAATAGAAAATAGAAACTAAAAAGAGCTAGATATAATGCTATTAATCTATTAATCTCAGATCTCTATCCGACGTTTTTTGAAATGGCTAGGAGTATATAGACACTTCCATCGATAATTGCTTACTATCGATCATGTGACTTTTTGGAGTTGACTGGGGGGGGGGGGGGGGGTAAAACAAGCGATTGACTGAGAGGCAACTCGCGATTGTTAAGTCAAATCATTTCAAAATAAGTCATCAAAGTATTCTATCTGACTTTCTTTCGAGATGAAACCAGAAAACATGATAAGATCCTACAAGCCATTAAAACGGAGATGTTACCGGATGTGCCGTCTATTAATAGTAGCCTTTGTCAACAAGCCCTAAGGCTACCTCGTTTGTATTTACTACTTCCTGCTTGCTGTTAAAAAACCTACTTTATTTTTAACTGTTTTATTAGATTGCTTTCTTTACAACTGGAAAAACGGAAAAATTAAACTAGGAATGATTTAAGATAAAAATATTATGAAATGAAATAAAATAAAATTAAAATATACAATATAATAAATAAAATATAATAAAAATATAATAAAATAAACAAATAAAATAAGATTGAAAATATAATATAATATCTTTAAAACACTCATTAATAATTCATAAGTTTATGGTTCAATTGGAGCCACCATATACGTCACGTGCATGAACCTTTATACCCGATAAAGTCCTCTTCGTTAGTATTCAAGTGATTTTATATAAAGGCACATGTGTCTTTATATAAAGACACGTGATCTTTATATAAAGACCACTCGAATACTATGAGGATGACTTCATCAGGGATGAAGTATGCATCCAAGTTTAGATGAAGACTTAGAGCCTCATCAAGGCCATAGCCAACCCCAAAAAATCTTTGACTAACGTGCCTGTCTTTGCCTTGGCACGCAATATCCAACGTGTGGGAGCTTCTATTGAATCTGGTTGCGCATGCCCGTGACGTCAAATCTCTATCGAAGWATAAAAATCCATGTTCGTGACGTGTATGGTGGCTCCAGTTCAACCAAAATCTTATAAATTGTTCATGAGTGTTTTAAGCAGTTCAAAAAACTCGTAGGTCGTGTTTTATACCTGATAAAACACTCCTACTCGTTTTTTAAACACTACTTATAAATTATAATAAAATAAATGAAACAAAATATTAAATGAAATGAAAAAAAAAAAAAGAGCAAGGTAAACAGAAAAACCAACTAAGAAAGATTTGAAATAAAATTATTATGAAACGAAACAAAAAAATCCAAAACGAAATAAAATAATAAAATAAGATTTTAAAAACGAAAAAAAGCCGAATTAATCGAGCTGAACTGTGTTAACTTTAGATTGTTTTCTTCTTATTTTAAAAGCTGCTTTCTAATAGCGCAGCGCAACCGTGATGTCATAAAAACGAAGACAAAGGCGAAATTCGGACAAACAAACTTACAAGTTTACTTTCAGCATATAATTTTCACAGCCGATCGCAGTTGATCTTAGTTTACATGGGTTATTATTGTAACTTTAAGTAAAAATAATAAAATCGGTTCGTATGATCCTCGTAGCGGTTAAACAGAATGCAATGTTTGTCCGAATCTTTAAGCTATTTTTAGGATCAGTGCGCTGCGCTATTAATTTTCCTAAAGAGAAAATGTTTTGAATGATTTATTTTTGAAAATCAATCACTCCAAATCGTAATTAATTCCTAAAGAAAGCATACTCTTAGAATCTCACTATGATGTCTAGAATAATAATCATCCTTCCACGCATACCAAATAATGATAATTCATTAAACTCTCATTAAGCTCTTTCCGAGGGCTTTTTGAGGGCTGCTTGAGGTGGGATATCTTGAAGAAAAACATGGTAAGCACCACTTAAGAAGAAAAGGATTGATTGCTATGATCATTCGCCTTCGTTGAATACACCTCATTAGACGAATGTTGTCATATAGAAATAACAAATACGAATAAATTAGAGGGAAAAAAAAAAAAAGAAAGAAAAAAGGAATAAATCAGAAATAATTTTTTACGAGGCCACGCAAACAAATGTTAAACCAAATCCACAAATTAAATGTTTGACGCTAAATATAACAGGATGGTGACGAATTCTGGAGTTTAAACTGTTTCTTGTTCATTCTTGATCATAAACACACACGTGTAATCTAGAATATATGCTTTAAAAACATGAATATATGAAAATTTGTACAGATTCTATCGTGACCGTGGTGACCTTGGTTTGTTAGTCGCACAGTAAAGTCCAATACATTGATCAAAATAACTGTTTAGCCCCGTTTACACTGGCGATTTTTGAGGCGAATTTTGCTGCTATTTTTTTTGGCGATTCTGTCCATAATAAATAATGGTAAAGAATTTACTTGTAAACCAAGATTTTCGTACACGAATGTCTCTTTTGGAGGATGAGACAAAAGATTTTATATTTCCGAAAATTGCCACAAAAATCGCAGCAAAAATCGCCGAAAAAATCGCCAATTTAAACGGGGCGTTTTAGTATACAGCTATTTCAAAAAAGGTTGAGTACTGAATACTGCATACTGAATAGCGCATTCCAAGACCAAAAGGCATTGTGGGTCATAGTGACAATTATTTATGATATCCACTTTCATTGATAGTCGCCTAAAGGCTCGTCCAATTTGGAAAACTTTCAAAACATCACTCGAAACTATAAATTCAGAGTTGTCGGTACTCGAGATCGTGCGATTTCCAATGCATATTAACATATTATGGTAAATAATTGAACTTACTTGTGTCAAACTTCACAGGTTTACCAATTTTAATGGAAGTGATTTTTTGTTTTTAGAACTTTCAATTTACATATTTARGATGMTYTATTTTTTGCTTATTATATAGTCTCATATACACCCGGTTGCGGGAGGGTCGTCGCGTGGGGGAGGGTAGGGGGTGGATGGGGGGTTGGAGGGGGCATTGATGGTTTGGCGGGGAGGGGATTTGATATGTATATATATTTTACTATTGTTTATTATTATTATTCTATTTTGTATATATTTTATCGAGGGCCACCTTAAAATTATCATTTATGGTAACGGTGTTACCCTGTCTAATAAAGTTGTTATTATTATTATTATTATTTCGCAAACACATGAATTTTTAAAAATAGAAATTTGTATAGGGCACTAACAAGGGAAATTTCAAAATTTGAAAACAAACTGAGTGAAATTACAAACGAAAATGAAGTTCGGAAGTTGTTCTAAATGCAAGCAAAATATTATTTTTCGAACTTGATGGGAGCTTTTTTATTGCTGTTTATTTTGTATATAATAAGAAAAAATGTTTTCGCATCTGGCAATCTTAATCACAAAGTTGTTTACACAAGAGAGGTAAAATACCCTGAAAACTTGCAAAAATAGAAATATATTTCCGTAAATTACCGTGTAGTGAAGTATTTGAACCCCAAAATATTTATCATCTTTGTAGATGGATATAATATTTAACCAGGGGCTTATCTATACGTTCACTTTATTATTTATTAACGCCAGGTTTTAAATTGTTAATCGTTTCCAGAGCACATAAATACTGATTCGCGGCTTCAGAGCCTTGTCATTTTGCTGTCATCTTTTCGAAAGGTGGTAGTATGACAGCAGGTTCTGCAGGATTTTAAAACAAGGAAATATACGGGTAAATCCTAATTCGTTTGGCTGGGCTATCAAAGTTAAAGTTGTGAATTCTGCTTTTTTTGCACTCCAACACTACACAAGTCTTGATCTTATTGAAGGAAACTTGAAAGAATTGAACATTTGATGGCGAATTTCACAGCTTTAGGACAACAGGTATTCTTTCTTTGCCTTAATTCAACTCCAACTTGTAGAGGACGAGAGCTACACTTGTCGTTTCTTGGTTTAACGTGTATTGTTGGCATAATTGCCAACAGTTTCCTAGCGGTAGCGATTATTCAGCAACAACAAAATCGAAAAACGAGGGACGGCGTCTTGATATTGAATCTTGTGGCTTCGAACTTTTTCTCTTTGTTAATCAACCTTCCTCTGGAGTCTGTCCTCATTTCAAAAATTGACCGCTTATTCAAATGTGAATCTTCCATCGAAAGCTTCCAAGAGCTGCATTTCGTATTTCATTTTACAAGTAATTTTTCCACGCTGTTTACTTTGGCTGTGATAGCAATAGAAAGATTCGACGCGATTACAAAACTTCCAGGTCAAACTCAAATCACGAGGCAATTGTGCATAGTACTTACCGTTTGTGGATGGATCGCTTCGCTATCCCTATCAGCGTTTMTTAAATTTGGACCCTTTGGGAAGTATTGCGAGCCATTTTGTGAAACGTTGTTGAACAATCCAAGCGAAAAAACTCGAACGATCAATGATTCGATTACAGTGACTTTGGCAACAATTTGGATCACTACGTGCTGTACGATAGTCTGTACTAAACTTATTTTCGCTAGTAGAATGATAAGACAGCACGAACAGAAGATTAAAGACATGTTTGGGCTAAGAAAAGCTAGAATTGAAATTCGGTTCACAAAAACTTGTTTTGCGATTTCGTTGACATTTATTATGTTGTGGGCTCCCTATGGGCTGGCCGTTATTGCTGAATCAGTTCATACGAATATTGCTAGTACTTGTGCTAGATACTGGACACAGTCCATATCGCATACAAGTTCAACATTTCTTCCTATCGTTTATATTGCATTCGACAAGAGAGTACAGATATGGTTTAACACTTTTTCCTGTCGTCGTGAGGTTCGTCCGATGGAGTCGCAAAGAACATAGTACACTACTAAAACTACGATTGCAGGTCCAATTCTTGAAGGATAAACTCAATGTGGGAATTATTATGGAAATCAAGGATGATGAGTGGTAGGATTGATTGATCATCACATGTTAATTTAAATTTTAGGCCTTTCCCTTGATTCGAGGAATTTTCTCAGGGTTCTCTGGTTTTTCTTCGTCCGCATGCTATGAATTCCGTCTGTGAGTTAGCCATGCCCTGACTTAGATCAGCCCAGAGGTTGTTTCAGGGTTCGATCTGTGAATTAGCCGTGCCCTGACTTAGATCAGCCCAGAGGTTGTTTCAAGATTTGATCTGTGAGTTAATCATGACTTTTATTAGATCAGCCAAGAGGTTGTTTCAGGGTTCGATCTGTGAGTTAGACATGCCTTGACTTTGATCAGCCCAGAGGTTGTTTCAGGGTTCGATCTGTGAGTTAGCCGTGCCCTGACTTAGATCAGCCCAGAGGTTGTTTCAGGGTTCAATCTGTGAGTTAGTCATGCCYTGACTTAGATTAGCCCAGATTTCTGTGCGCCACAAAGGAACTAAGCTTGACGTTTGTAAAGCAATACACAATATTTGTGCTGTATACGATATAAAAACTAATGGCTACACCTCGAGTCTATATATCGTACACAACACGGCCACTCATATTGTATATATTACATTAAAAAAACGAAATCCAGGATTTAAAAAAAAACCTCTTAGTATTAGTTCCGATGTGGTAAACTTTGGGAAGCCTTATAATCACCGCTCGAGCAGTGATTATCGTCTCATAATCACTGGTCGCTCGACCAATCACAGCGCACAAAACTCTATATTCAAGTCTAAAATTATGTATATACTAATGATTTTTCTCCAGGTGGTTCAATGACGTTGATATTCGCTTATTGAATAAAATGGCTACATAAAATACTGGCACAATATCAAGAGCTTGTCGATGCTGTTTTCATTATTGATTTTTCTTTCTTTTGTCCTGCTGTCTTTTACTTTGTTCGCTCGTGTTTTTTCCCTTTCCTTACCTCCTTCCTTTGTTTCTGTCCTTCTTTCTTTCCCGTTTTGTTTGTTTGTCTGTTTGTTTGTTTGTTTGTTCGTTCGTTCGTTCGTTCGTTNGTTCGTTCGTTCGTTCGTTCGTTCGTTCTCTTCTATTCTAAGAAATAATACGTGGGGCACAGTAATACGTACACCAAGGGCAAAAAAAAAGTGATCCGTACCTTCTAGTTTACTGTATTCTGTAGGGTTGTAATCAAATGGAACGAACTCTTTGCCAACTTTAGTGATTGCTTCATACGAAGGATTACGATCGTCATCATCTTCTTCATCAACGTCTTCAGATTTAATCTTTTTTTCTATCGGAGTTGATGGGATGTCCCCTTCTTGCGTTTCATTTTTCTTCTTTCTTTTTCTCTTCTTTTTTCCCTCAATCTAGGATATGGGACAAAAAAGTGATATCAACTGATAAATCACGTGATCATCGTCGGCCATATTGGATGTCAGATTCTTCGTTTCCACGTGATATCAAACACCAAGAAAATAACAACTTAAAGTTAATAATGAATTTTATACGACAAAATATAGCGGCCAATTAGAATAACTATTGTTCTGCACTCACTAGCGACTGACTAGCCTCATGCTCACATGAAAACACATGAGCATTTTCACATGTATGAGAGGCTAGTCAGCCCGGCGCCAGTCAGTCCATAAAGCTATTCAAGCTATTCAAATTGGTTGTATAAACGTGATTGTTTGATGTTTTATGGAACTATGATGCAACATATTGTAGGAAATTTTAGATCGTTTCTACGAGTTGTACAAATTTTACTTGATTTTATCTTATTGATTTTTTTTTTTTTTTTTTGCAAAAACAAAACCTTTTGTTGTTTGACATGTTTTTAAACTCGATTTATACATGTCTAAAGTGGGTTAGATAAATTATTTTTTCCTGAAATAATTTTTTGAAATTTTGGCTGCCATCAAACTCTTCTAAATTCTTAGAAAACGTGATGGAATGCACGCATGAGCAAACGTTTCTCTCTAGTGTCGTTACAATCGAAAGGGTTTCGTAAACGCTGACATCTGTTGTGCACATGCGCGGATGATGATACTCTATCATTTCCGATTGGTCGAAAAACGCGAAGCTACTGATTCGTTTTCGGTGAGACGAAAAAGGAACGTTTCAAAAACGATTTAGTGTTGACATGGCCTAAGGAATCCCTTTTCTAAATGGATTTATTTGTTCAAATTTATCTACAAGGAAGATCGTTTTGGTGATTTTTTCCCTTTAGTTTATATTGTTGATTTACGGTGGCCCACAAGTCTCACGGCAAAACAAACTAAACTCACGGCAAAAGGCAATAAATTCACGGCAAAATAAACTAAACTCACGGCAGAATAAAGAAAGCCACGGCAAAATAAACTAAACTCACGGCAGAATAAAGAAAGCCACGGCAAAATATACTAAACTTACGGCAGAATAAAGAAAGGGACGGCAGAACAAAGAAAGCCACGGCAGAATACAATGAAGGGCAACGACGTATTGGGTTCCCTGTTGATTTTTTTTACCGCGAGCAATTTGTCAGCGGTTTTGATGTTGTAAATACGAATGGCGTCTGGTTAAATACAATTAAATTTACAATGCAAAGTTTATCAATTTATCATAACCTTTAAAAGACTTTAGACTTCAATATTGACCCTGAAACAATAAGAACGCTTTATAATTATTCCAAAACAAAAAGTTTCAATGATAAGAACCTAAGCTTGACAAGAAATAATTTTAATAATTTTATTTAAAAAAATGAATGGTTTTAGGAGATATTTTTGAAGAGAAAAATCGGTTCAAGGTTTGTCATCTTAGTCGCCGGGTATGTGATTCCAAGCCGATCGGTTTTTGGATGCTCGATGTTCTAGCTCAATCAATCGCGTTTGAATAATGTTATCAAATGAAATATCCACCACTTAGCAACATTTTAAGGCAAGTAACAGCCCTTATGGTCAAAGGCCACCTTTCGTCATTTAGTTCTCAGATGTTTTGGCAGTCAGGAAACAAAACAATCCTTCGTTCGCGAGGGTTGCCAGTGAAGCTAACGTGGCCCCCAACGTGGCCATAAATGGCAGAGACTTCACCGTACAAGTATGTAGAAATTGAAAGTACACACAGTGTAATTATAGGAAATCACCAACTGCAAGAAAATCCACACCAAACCGGTGAGACAGATTTGGCATTCATAATACTTTCTCGCCAGGAGATGTTCACACAACGACGGTCAAATGCAAATGAAGCATAATGAAACTTTTACCCCACAATGCTTCACGCGACTTGATCACCCTCCTCTGATTCTTCCGTGGCTTTCTTTATTCTGCCGTGAGTTTAGTTTATTTTGCCGTGGCTTTCTTTATTCTGCCGTGAGTTAAGTTTATTTTGCCGTGAGTTAAGTTTATTTTGCCGTGAATTTATTGCCTTTTGCCGTGAGTTTAGTTTGTTTTGCCGTGAGTTTAGTTTGTTTTGCCGTGAGTTTAGTTTGTTTTGCCGTGAGTTTAGTTTGTTTTGCCGTGAGTTTTTGTTTTGCCGTGAGACTTGTGGGCCACCGTAGTTGATTAACCAGGACCATACTTCCAGACATCGAATGCTGAACCTTCGTATGGACTTACGGCTACGCTGGCGATTTCGACACCAACACCGCTATCCCGGGAGGAATTACAGACTGATCAGGAAGCTCGGCCGAAGACTAAGGGAGAGGTTAGTCGGCCCCTAGACCGTAGATGATTAACCCCTTGCTATGAGCAGCAGACCTGATTTTTCCTTTGTGTCACTGATGACTAAGTACCCATGCTCACTCCTTTACATGTGGGACGACACGTAAAGTACACTTTTGAAAACGATGATGTCATTTACCCGGGCACGTCTGTTTTCGCATGCGCAGATTGTATTGTATAATTTCCGATAATCTCTTCGTTTTTGATCGTTTTAGCGTGTGCGAGCGAAAACGTTTTGAAAGCGCTAGTGTGGCGCGAAGCTTTCGATGCGTTTTTGGTGAAACGAAAACGGAAGAAGCTTTGATTACGTAACAGTGTGGACTCAGGGTTGCCTTCAATTCTGTGTCTAAATATTCACAAATACCAACGACAAAGTAAAGAATGCACAACTTCAACAATACCGCGCAAACTTTGAAACTCGACAGATCTTTATTGGACTGCATAAATATTCTACACACACTGACCCAGGCTATACCCTTGAGGAATACAACAACGAAGCAAATCTAGGGAAATGCATGCCTTACCTTTTGCCTGAGAGGGGTGGAGTCTTCGTGGTCACTGTCGTTGTTCACAATTTTTGTCCCTGATGAAGACAAAAAAATATATATTGGATTATATTATATGCAGTAAGCTTTGGATGTATTGCATTAAATGTCGTTCGGTTCTACATTTTTTTTTCTTCCTTTTTTCTTTCTTTTTTTTTTTTT